CCAATGGGTGGGGGGGGGGGGGGGGGGGGTACTCATTTGTTGCTTGCCGTAGTCATTTGACCATTGACCACGCGTCCCTTTCGAGTCGGAGCACCGTTCCTACCCCTACTAGAGACACCACCAACATTTGGGAGCTCTTTACGTTTCTGCCACAAACTCCATAAAAATTTCTTGCACATCTTATCCCCGTCCTTTAGGGCCTCTTGTGCCCACCATCTATCCCCAATTATCGCGATCGTTTTTTCGCTGTTGTTTAATTTACCAAATTTGTCCATGTCACACCCTTTTTGTTTCATTTCCTCCTAGAGGGGGGGGGGGGGGGGGTTGAGCAGTCCTGGTGCCACAAGCAAGTCATCCACGTTGATGACGACGCCACCACCTCACCACCTAACTGCTCCTAGTGTTTTAGAGTTTGCCGCAGGCTTTGTGGAGTGCGAAAATAACTGACTGAGCTACCCACATTTTCCTGATGATTGTGTCCCTACCCTATCACTGTTCTCCCACGCCCCCTCCGTCCCTCTCTTCTTTCCTCTTGGGACTGGTAAAGGCCTTGGCGAGTACACCTTGGTTTACGACTTCTTTCTGCAGCAGACGATACACTTTTTGCACGAGTGGATCTATGGCCTGGGGGTGGAGGGTGGCAAGCCCCTCCCGCCCTTCAAGGACTTCATGAACGCTAACCCACTCGACGTTTCCGTGTAAGTGAGGCCGCGGACTACGATAGTGCTGATGATATGACTGTGTTTTTGAGCGACCCGCAGGCGAAGGGATTGACTGAGAGGCCCTTTCAGTCCCATACACTCCGGTCTGTGCTGTAGCCCCTTTTGGTGAACAAACTCCGGAACGTGCACCTACGGTGGACCAGACTACAGTGATATTCGTTGTTTTTCTTTGAGTGGTCACAACCTATTCTGCTCGGTTTTCTACCTACGCAACGAAACGATCCCTCATTCATTTATCGTCCATCGAACTTGACAACGTCATTGTCGTCAACGAATACTCCGCTCGCTCCAGACTGCTCGAGCTCGAGATGGACACCCCTGTTGCGAATCTCGCGGCGAAGCTCGCCCAAAGGTCGAAGAAGCCGTCCGCCGAGCAGCTTGCCTCCGTGGAGTCCATCGCCGAGGCCATCCGCTCGTCCGACGTCTGGGCCGGCTTCGTGGAGATGCTCGAGGACTCCAACGTACGTGCTTCACGCAGCATTAGGCGGTTTGCGCTTGGCTGTGGACGATGCTTGTCCTGCTGTCTCTTGTTTGTTTGCTCAATCAATCCCCGCCGGCAGTCAAACAGCCCGAAGATTGCACCCGAAACACTCCTATCCCTGCCAAGGCTCGAGCCGATCAACCCCACGACCACCGCCAACAGTCACACTACAAATGCCAGAAACGACGACCTCACAGCAGCCCCGTGCACTGTCGTTATCCCTGCCACTGCTGTTCCCACCTGTACGACGACGAGCCAGGTAAACACCAAGGATCTGGAGCGATCGTTCATGTTCACCACCAACTTCCAGTCGGCGGGGGCGATAGCGAAGGGCATGATGCCCGTAGTTGCCACCCTGACGAACAACCCGGAGTTCCTAGAGAAGCTGAGGAAGGAGGTCGACGGCAAGGTAGAGTGTGGGGTTAAATGCAGGATAAAAAGAACAACATATCTCGATTATCACGGGTTCTGCTGTAGCGTTCTACGTGCGTCACATCTCTCAAGAATTGATATTGTGCCGAATGTCTCCAGTGTTAAGGCTACGCCGCCGTATGATCACCGTCTCCCTCGTAGAGTTTACCGCCGACGCCAGCTTGTTGTAGGAGCACTGCCGCAAACACCTATCACAAACCAACTGGTATTTCACACATTTCGCCAATCTTCTTCTCTGCTCTGTGACCACCAACCTCAGGATTTGACGTTCCAGTCTATCAGGGGCGCCGAAAACTTCCCGCTGCTCGACAGCTTCCACTGGGAGATCAACCGGATGTTCCCGGCCCCTGCGTTTACTGTGAAGGTGAGAAATGCATAACACTCTATAGCAGGTGTGCCTTTTCGATACATTGGGCATCGAGGCCTGTTTGGTGCTGATACGTAGTCGTGCTATCCATCTCCACCGTAAAGTGCCTATTTTTCAAAGGAGAGGAGGGACGAAAGAAAACGGGTAGCTCGGGCCAATAGGGTTAGGGGAACAATCCCGTAACCAGCACATGGCCTATGGTTACAACAACACTTCGCAGCATAGCTTTCTTCAGGGACGTTGCCAGCTCTTTGTCGTGAATTCGCTCCTCCTCCGTCCGCACTCACGCTGGTTGCCCCTGGCTCGCAGGAAGCGAAGATGGATCTCGTCGTGCCCACCAGCTCCGGCAAGAAGTACAAGGTGCGTGCCCTAGAAAAGGACGAGTTGACAGAGGTTCTAGGGGCTAACCGTATACAACACATCAGTCGCAGTACGTCCACAGAAGCCGCGAAAAATATCTCGTCCTCTCCGTCCTGAAGGTATGTGTTTTGTGTATGTGCGTTTGCTTGACCGGGTTGATACCCTCTTTCCCTGACACAGAGAACGGTGACAGCGAGTGTCCGGTCTTCTGATCTGGCTTTATTTACAGACAAGACTACCGTTTGCGACGAAGTCTGATAACAGAGCCTGCCTCAATCAAGCCGCGAAACAGAAGCGAGAAACCAACCGTCACAGACCGGACAACGCTTCCACGTACAAATTCCGCGGAAACGGATGGGTTCCCTTGCAAGCAATAGCTACATCGGCTCGTGCGCATGTGTGTGACTTCGTACTCTCCGCGTGTTTGTTCCTTCACGCAGGTCAAGAAGGGCGAATTACTCATGATGGAACAGGCCCTCGGGCAGATGGACCCGTCCGTCTTTGGCCCTGACGCCCGGGAGTTCAACCCCGAGCGCTTCGTGGACAACCCGGAGCTCAAGAAAAAGGTGAATCCACCAACAATATGTAACAAACGCAGAGGCCTTTGTTGAAGTGGTCGTGGTGCGCGCTGGAATGCCGCATGTTTCCAGCACCTGGCTGTATGTGGGGATTGGATGTTGATTGCGCCCTACGTTTAGGCTGATGAGGAGTGGGCCGACCAGTGTAGGTTTCGTTCCGGGTCGAACAGACTACCGCCAGTAGCATGGCCTGCAGCACCCCCTGTGAGTAGATGTGCTCCTCATATTTCTGGCTGTGAACGTTCTCGGTATCGATGATGTTGCTGAGGTATGGTGTGTACAAGGTTCCCATCATAACGCTTTGGTCGTGATGTTCGTACCCAACAAGAGCACGTTGATTACGGTCGCACGCCACCTGATGATGACGACCGTGCCGCACAACCCCGCACAGGTCTTCGCCTACGGGTACGTCGACCATGACAAGGTAGACGGCCAATGGGGATGCGCGGCGCACGCCATAGGAATGCTAGACGGCATCCTCAAGATCATCTACGGAAGGTGAATCCGTGTGCAAGGACGTACGACTGTACTAGATTGCCAAGCAGAAAGCGCCCACCGTAGGGATCGGTGTGGAATTTGCGCGAAACATTAGACGCCGGTGTCATTGACGCCCCCGCTGCAGACCTAACGTTCGATATTGATAGCCCAGAGAAGGGACGCCTGTGCGTGGGGTCGGGATCGGGGTAGGAGTTAAGGCAGGTGTGATTCTCTGTTCAACGGTGATTCAGCTAACACAAATAACAATGAGGAGAACCGATGGCCCCCTCGTTCTGCCCTCCTGTCCGGGCACCCCTCAAGGAACCCTTCTCTCTCTCTCTCTCTCTCGTTCTATCCCCCATGAACGCGTACTTGTATAATGACCCCCCCGCCCCCTGCTTCGCCCGTGTGCGGTAGGTGGGTGCAGGAGGCAGAGTGGGAACTGACGAGCGTGCCGGTGATCTCTCCTGACGAGTTTCTCGCAGAGGTCGGTCCGGCGGACATGTCCTTCGCGAAAGTCACGTCCCGTAAGAAGATGTAAGCGGGAACCTAAGGCGCAGACGAAGTAGCTGCGTCACGGAAGGCGACTGACTGTGGCACAAGACAGAAACAGAAAAACGGAGATGTATATAAGCAAGACAAGAAGGCGCAGCCAGCCAGCCAGCTTAGTTTGGCGGTGTTCTGAAACGTCCTGTGTGTGTGCTCCACGATGAAAAATATCGGAGACCAGACAATTGACTACATAAGGTTGTGTCTAATTGGGCCATTCTCTTTGAGAAACTGAGGCCATATGTCGTGCTGGTGGAACCAGACACGAGAAGACATGTGTTGTCCACTCCGCGTCTTGGGGTCTTGAAATAGGAAGTGTAGGGGACCCGAAAATCGCTGGTTGCTGGAATCTGCAGCGAAATGGGCCAGTTTGTCGAGCCTAGGGCAACTGAGGGTCTATGGCGAAGACCAAATTCCCCCGCCCACCTACCGTTTGCTAGAGTCAACTGTAAATTATCGTGTGAAACGCTATTGCAAGGCCGGGTCTTGTGAATGCCTGTCATTTGGTCTGCATACATCGACCAAAGACTGTGTGGTGTGCATGGTGTTTCGAAGCTAAGATGTGCGTCCGGTTTCATGTGAGGTGCAATGGGCGATTTTGCGAAGGAAAAAGGGCCACACGCGTGAAGTATCGAGTGTCGACGGGGTCCTTCGTCGAATCGTGGGTTTCTGAGGTGTCACTCCAGTTTGTACGTTTCATGTAGATCGTTTATTGTGTGTTCGAGGGGATGTGAAGTATGTTTTCAGGTGGCAACGAAGTGCTTTACGTATTGTTCGGTTCTGTTCCACGTATGGTGTTCTCGTGCGGTTGTCGTCGTCGTCATCATTTTATTGGCGTTGTTGGCGTTGTTGGTGTTGTTGTTTGTAGTGGTGACCTTTGTGCTGTATCAAATACTTGTTCGACCGAGACCGGTACAAGGTGAATGTCCAAGTACCTGCGGAGAGGAGTCTCGCGACGTTAGTGTGCAAGGTGTACTGTATTGGTTGCGACATTAGTGTTCAAAGTACTGTCTTGGTTTTGCGCTCCGTGGTATTTCCACCAAAGAAAGGTATCGTCCGTACCCTGCGAAATTGTGGGCTGATGCCCCCTCGAGGGAGAGCAGGAAATGGGATATACTTCGCCTACTGGGCTTCTTCGTATGTATGTATATGAGAGCGCCTTTGCTCCGGGTGTTGAGGGTGGGAACGCAACTGCGCTGATGGTAGGGCGAGGTGTATCATTGTCCAGTGTGTGGTCTTGAGACCCGCACGACTGTCTTGTGCAGAAGCCGTCTTTCTCATTTTCGTCCAGCGATAATAATAGCGGGCCAAATAGCACGTACAGTATGTGTATGTCTGGATACTTGGGTAGACGTCTTTCATGGACTGCCCCTCTCTGAGTTGGTCCCAGGCCATGTTTTGTGTTCCTGCGTGCATGTTGATCGAGTTTGTGCCTGTAGCGAGCGTGTTAGCATAGTCGTTCGGCGTGAGCTGGCAAAAACACAAGCGCCTGAGGCCATCTATTCTCAGTATTGTGATGGTGTTGTGCAATCCCTAGGCTCTAGGTGGGAGCGCCGCCGAGTGGTTGTGGTTGGAACACAACCTAGTGATCATCGGTGTCGTGAAGAGCAACACCACCAGGCGCATCACGCGACTCTGCCTGTCTGTGCCCATGTAGCATACGCTGGAAGACAGAATGTGGATGGACAGTCTACGCCCGATAGCACTCTTGGTGACCAAACCATTGTGCGGAAGGGCGGCGCCTGGTTTAAGCGATATCATAGGTTGGTGGCGCGTCGGACTGAGCCGCTGTGGCAAGCTTTCCGCAGGTGCTCGCTGCAGACGCAAGACAGTCTGCTCAGTTCTGGGGGTTGCGGAGTACGAACGTGTAGTGACAGAACAGGGCCGGAGCTAAGAAACGTCACCAGCGGGCCGAGGCCCAATTCGAATTATTGGGTCGAAGGACCGTCCGAGTCGTCCTATATAGAAAGAGGTTCTTGGGCTTGTCGCATCCTGTTGATGCCTCGTGTTTCTTGCTAACTGAGAACACGATACACCAAAAGCCTTCATGCGGGATTTACCCGGAACCTTGGCGTGGCGGACAGGTTGTCGCCCTCCTAGACTCCCTGATTCGCCCCTCATGGTGCACCTCTAGCATCACCCACGCCCCAACGCCAGCTCCTTCGCCACCCGCGGCACACGATCCAAATGCAACTAATTTAGCTGGGGGGTGTGGGTAGAGCGGGTGGAGGAGTGGTGATGTTTTTTATATGACACACTCCCTAGCCACCTCGGTTCGCTCCAATTTCTCGATGAAACGCTTCAAATCTTGTCACCAAGAATGTTTTTTGTTCGCTCAGCGGTCCCATTCTGTCGGCATGCGGTGACCCTCAGAACGGTGGGAAAAAACACTGCGTGGGACCCCAGGGATGATGGTGGAAGGTTAGGGTGAGCGGGAGAGGCGCGCTGGTCCTCTCTCTCCCTCTCTCTCTCCCTCTCTCTCTCTCTCTCTGTGTGTCTCCCTCTCTGTATCTCGAGAAAACAATGACAACATCTACGGCCAATCTAACCCTGCCCGACGAATCAGTCGCCTACACAGCTTGAGATCCCCTGGCAATATGTTTGCGATATCGCTTTGTAGTCTCTGGCTTTTTCGCCCTTCCTCCTCCTTGAGTCCACAGGTGTTGCGTCCGTCTGCTGCAGTCCCGGGGATTGATATTGTTTCCCATTGTAGAAACAATTTCCGGTGGTGAGCGAGGCGGTTGTCTTTTTCGTAGATACGGGAGGTCCACACGTTCCGCATACGCCTGCGTTCCGCGCGGTTGCCGAGGACTCTCCGTGGCCCAGACAGGTACTACTGCTGTAGGTTGGCGCCGGGTGGGTAAGTTCTAGGTTGTTGTGGCGGCATTGACCCTACTGTAGGTTGGCGTTGATGGGACAGTCTAAGTGGATGGGCCGGTATTGGTGCTACGTTGGTGTTGGTATGATAAAATCTGCATAGGTTGGTATTTGCTCAGAGAGTTGCGACAATAGGTTGTTTCTGACGTGGGTGGGTGCTAAGTTGGGTGGCGCTTGGAGTAGACCTGGGTCGCGCTTGGGTGGTAAGCGGTGCTCGCGCAGGTCTGAATACGTGGAACTGCCAAGTGTGGGAGTATCGAATATCAACCTCTCGTTAGCTCTAGGGTAGCGGGGGAAAGGATACGGGGAGCCCGGCATTCTTTCCTTCAGTATCTTTGGAGATGGGAAAATATTTGATACACCCAGGGGTGTGCACATTAGCCATGCACCCACACTCGCGCGAGCACAGTTTACCACCCAAGACCCACCTTGACCTATGCGTAGGACCGCCAACCTACAGCAGTAGCACCCACCCGCGTCAGGAACGGAACAAACCTACAAAGCATCTGTCCAAGCAGAAACCCTAACCCGATCTATCGCACCAAGGCTAACCTACATCTTTGCCGCCCCATTCACCTCACATTGTCCGATCAACACCAATCTAGCGCCAAGGACAACAAAACAACCTAGACCTTATCGACCCAGCGCCAACATAGCACCTGTCGCGTTGGGTTTGGGGTTAGGGTTCGCGTTAGGATTCAGTCGATTTCATGCCTCTGCCATTGCAGAGAACCAGAATAGTCATGGTTGTAATTTAATTGGTTGCAGGTTGGAGTGGCTCCGCCGACGCTGCGGGAAAATGATACAGAAGAATAGACTGGTGCCCCTTGGGTCTCACCCAAACTGATACGCTGGGCCGCGGAGAGTACTCGGCAACAGCGCGGAATGCAGAAATGTGTGGACATTACGCATCTGCTAGAGCAACGACCGCCTCGCTCACACCGGGGCAAATTCTTTCCAGCATCGGAGGCTGGAATCCATCTCCGGCATTGCGGTGGACAGACGCAGCACCTTCGGACCCAAGGAAGAAGAAGGGCCAAGCAGCCTTAGGACGAAAAGCTATCATCGCGAACACAGCTTCCAAGGGACACCGAGCAATGTAGGCGGTTGATTCTTTGGGGCCATGCTTAGCGATAGATGCTGTCATGGTTTTCTCGAGAGACGGATGGCCAGGCTGCCTCTCCCTCACTCTCATCTTCAACCATCAACCCGTGGTCCTGGGGTCATCCAGGAGTAACAGCGCCATTTATCTCATCGTTCTGAGTGGCTCCACATGCGTACAGAACGGGTCCGGTTACAGCAAGGAAATCGTGTTGTTGTATTATGAATGAAGTACCGAACGATACACCATACACTTGAATCGGGGTAGCTTTGGGAGTGTGTCGACCAAGAAATACCGCCACTCCTCCACCTACGCTACCCACTCCCCCTAACCAAGCTAGTCCATTTGGAGTCGTGCAGCACGGATGACGAACGCGCGGTCGTTGGGGCTGCTGGAGGATCACGACCAGGAGAGAGTCAGGGAGTCCCGGAGGGCGATAACTCCCATCAATGTTCGCCACACCATGTTTTCGGGATAATGCGGAATGAGTTGTTGCGTATTGTATTGTTAGCAAGAAATACGAAAGTCAACAGGGTGCAACAGCCCAATAACAAGAAAATCTTTGAAGAATATGGACGACTTGGGCTCGTCTTCGACCAAAATAATGGAGTGGGCCTCGATCAGTTTTTTCGTAACTGCGCGCCTGTTCTGCAGCCTCACTCACAAATTTGCGCTGCGCCTCCCGAACTGACTACTGTCTTGATTCTCAGCGAGCACTTGTGGTAAGGCCACCACAGCGGCTCAGCCCGGCGTGCTACCTACAGTATGTACCTTCTCCCAAACCAGGCGCAGCCCTTGCGCACACACTTTTGGTTGCCAAAGTGGACTGTCGGGGTGTGGGCCGTTTCGTTGTGTTTACCGGATGTGCTACCATCGACAGACACGTCAATCTTGGGCACAGATAGGCAAAGGTGGGTGATGCTCGTGATCGTGCTGCCGTCCAATACACCGATAATCCCTAGGTGGTGTTCCAACCACAACAGCCAGGCGACATCACCCGCCGAGAGCCTCGAGTTTGCACAATATCGTCAAGAATTCAGAATAGACAGCCACGGCTTTGAGCGTTTCGCCAGCTGACGCCGAAAGACACACCACCCACGCAGGAGGACTTACGCGTCACCAACCTGATCAACATGCACCACGCAGGAACACACAACATGGCCTGGGACACGCCCAGAGAAGAGCAGTCGATCGAAGAACGTTTACCTGTGCATGTCCATATATATCCTAAGCGACAAATATTGCCGCAATTTTTAGCACAGCTTCGGCACAAGATGCCCCAGAGTGTGCGTCTGAAGACCACAAACTGGACAATATGACGCACCTTGCCCTGATCTCTGCGTCGTTCGGTTCCCACCTCGAACACCAGGAGAAAAAGACGCCCTCACATGCATACATAAGAGGAATAGGGAGTCTGTGTTTGATTTTCTGCTCTCCCCCCGGTGTTTGCCATCGGGGTTGGGTTTTCGTCGCTTGGCAACGACGTTGTAAAACAAGCCGCCCCCCCCGGTGTTTGCCATCGGGGTTTGGGTTTTCGTCGCTTGGCAACGACGTTGTAAAACAAGCCCCCCACTCGGTGTTTGCCATCGGGATTGGGTTTTCGTCGCTTGGCAACGACGTTGTAAAACAAGCCAATTCACTTCGTGAACTCGGCAACCAGGTTACCGTTTTTTTTTTTACCTCGTTTTTTTTTTTGGCGGTAACCATAATGGTGGTCGAGTAGATCATGTTGTGCGGGGTGGAGAAACCTCACTCCGCGCAACGGGGGATGATCGCACCACGTTGTGTTAAAATGGTCAAGCTTCCTCGAGGCAGTTACACAGTGCTTACAACTGTCTCTGGAAGTAAAAGCACCAGAAAGTAAATTAAGTCATACGTAGCTGTCATCCGTACGCAAGGAAGTAAGCACAAGATGCCGAACACCCTTAGCAGGATGCAGCTCACCCTTCATGCGACTCACCAAATACCTCACGGCGCTTCGCGCTTGGTGATGTGAGAGCCTGGTCCGGTGAGAACCCGGCGTGCTCCGTCCCGGCTTTGTAGGGATGGGAGGTCAATGGTCAAAGGACTACCGCATGCACGACTATGGGTACCCCCCCCCCCCCCCCCCCTCTAGAGGTATAGGTCATCAACCCAAAATTGGACTGGGAACCACCTTATTTGGTGGCAAAACACCGTAGGGTAACCTCCCGTCCAGTATAGGTGTACCTTGAACTCTAACCGTTTACGAGAGTTACGGTCGAAGAAGCGTATGAAACAACGCGAACAACCCCACGGTTACGCGCAACTACGTCACCAACTTCAACACAACGATTTGACGACGACAACGACCACCACACGCGGACACCATAGATGAACAGAACCGAACGAAAGATACACCAAACACTTCGTTGGTACCGGAGAAAATACATCCCCTCGAATACGCAACACGCGATCCTCATTTTGTTGTGCAAATCGGCGAGATACCTCAAAAACCCACGATTCGACGAGGGACACTCCGTTGACCTCCAGTACTTGGCATGTATCAACCCTTTTTCGTTCGCGAAACCGCCGCATTTACACGCCACATGAAACAGTACGCATCACAGCGTTGAACCATCATGCACAACAAAATCTTGGTCCGGACGTATCTTAGCTTCGAAACATCATGCACACAGTACAACCTTTGGTCTACCTATGCACACCAAAGGACGGGCATTCACAAGACCAGACCTCGTTCTAGGCGTGTCACGCGTTCTAGCAAACACCTAGAGGATAGGTGAGGGGAGTCGATGTTCGTGATAGATCCTCCGTTGCCTAGGCTCGACAAGCTGGCCCGATTGGCTGCAGTGTCGAGAACCAGGTAACCTGCGGGCCCTCTGAACTTCCTGCTTCCAGATCCACATCATGGGGTGGACATTCGCGCCTGGTTCCGTCAGCACGATAACTTCGGAAATATGGCCATAGTATCACAAAGAGAATGGGTCTACAATATCAACACATTCAACAACCAATGGTCTGGTCTCGGGATTTTTGGTATTGCGGGACACGCACGCAGACATGTTTGCTTCTCATCTCCCGTATTATTTGGTTGTGTTTCGTGCCACAGTCAGTCGCGCCTTGCTGTGGCGCCGCACGTTTGTCCGCGTCTGAGGACTCCGTTTACTTCTTGCGCGACGTGACTTTCGCGAAGGACAGGTCCGCCGGACCGACCGTTGCGACAAACGCATCAGGAGAGATCACCGGCACACTCGTCAGCTCCCACTCGGCCTCCTGCACCCACCTGCCGCACACGGGTGAAACAGGGCGGGTCGTTGTTCGTGCGCATGGGGGCTAGAAGGAGAGATATGAGGGGTTCCGTGAGGGATGCCCGGACGGGGTCGCAGAACGAGGGGGGAGGGTTGCTGTGACCGTCGGTTCTCCTCATCGTTATTTATTTTCGCTGAGTCGCCGTTGAACAGAGAATCACACCTGCCTTAACTCCGGCCCCCTTCCCATCTGACGCACAGGCATCTCTTCTCCGGGGTCTCTACCGAACGTTAGGTCTGAAGCGGGGGCGTCGATGTCACGAGCGTCTAATGTTTCGCTCGTGTCCCACGCCAACCCCTAATGTAGGCACATTCTGCTTGGTAAATCTAGGAGTACATTCTACGTTCTTGCGCATTGGCCTCACCTTCCGTAAACGATCTTGAGGACACCGTCGAGCAGCCCGACGGCGTGGGCCGCGCATCCCCACACGCCGTCTACCTTGTCGTGGTCGGCGTACCCGTAGGCGAAGACCTGTGCCGAGCGTGCGGCATGGTCGTCGTCGACGTCATCAGCAGGTAATCGGCGTACGACCGTTATCAACGTCCAGGTACTTCCAAATACATTCGAGGTACGAACACCAATTTCAACGCTTTGTTGCAGGAAGCTTGCATCATAACATATATCAGCAACATAATCGACACAACGAACGTTCGCGGTCGAAACTTGAAGCTCATCTTACAGGGGTGCCGCACGTAATGCTACGGGCAATAGTGTTTTCGATTCTCGGGAAAAAGTACGCTTTGGGTACGTTCGAGCACGCGGCACATCTTACGCTGCATGATCCTCACCAATCTACAGCGGATCAGTTCTGTGTCACCACACGTTCGTGGTCATGGTGAATCGCGGTGTCATCATTCGGCCCGCCCCTCATCAACCTAAACATGGAGCACAATCGACATTGAACCCCTCCGTTTTGCGAGGTACTGGCAACATACGGCGCGCTCCACAACACGCTTCAACAAAATCATCTACATATTATTCTAATGTCGGTTTCACCTTTTTCTTGAGCTCCGGGTTACCCACGAAGCGCTCGGGTTTGAACTCCCGGGCATCAGGGCCGAAGACGGACGGGTCCATCTGCCCGAGGGCCTGTTCGCACATGAGCACATCTCCCTTCTTGACCTGCGTGAAGCAATATCCACACAAAGAAGTAGAAGTAATACACACGCACAAGCCGATGTTGCCATTGCTCCCGAGAGGGAAGCAATCTGATTTTCCGGAAACTTGTACGTCGACCCCGTCTCCTGGTGTCCGATCGATGCAGTTGGTTTCTCAGTTGTCATCAGACCTCCTTCTAAAAGGTTCTAATAATGGCCGGATCAGAACACGGACACGCACTGCCACCTTCCTCTGGGTGAAGAAGAGAGGGAACAGACGACCCGGACATCTCTACATCCACAAGCAGATATTTAGAGTTTTTTTGTGTGTGCAATCGCACCGAGACTGGCGTCTTTTCATTGATCAACCGATTAACACGGTCGATGCAAACAAAGCAATAAAACACACACTGGAACCCAAGGACAAGAACATTTTCGCCGCTTCTGTGGACGACGTGCTGCGACTGAAGTGCTACCTACGTCAAGCCGAGATCTCTTCCAACTCGCCCTTTTCAAGCACACGCACCTTGTACTTCCTGTCGGAGCTGGAGGGCACGACGACATCCATCTTGGCTTCCTGCAAGCCAGGGGCAACCAACCAGCGCGTGCGCAGGCAACGTCGAGCGGAGGTACCGCGAGCGGTGAACTCACGACAACGCGATGGCACCTCCAGAATGGTATGATGTGTGACTCCAAACCCTTCGCTGTACTGGGAGTAATGCTGTGCCTACATGTCATGTGCTGGTTAGAAAGTTCTCCCCCCACCAGTATTGGACTGAGCTCCCCGTTTTCGTCCGTCCCTCCTCGTCTTCGAAAATGACGCGTTTCACGGTGGAGGTGGTGGATAGCACGACTATTCAGCACCAAACACACCCGGATGTCCATAGACGAAATGACACACCTACGATGGAGTGCAACATGCGTTTCTCACCTTTGCGGTGAACGCTGGGACGGGGAACACCCGGTTGATCTCCCAGAGGAAACTGTCAAGCAGCGGGAAGTTTTCTACGCCCTTGACCGTCTCGAACGTCAAATCCTGACATACGTTGCCGCAGAAGAGAGAAAGTCATTACCGGAAGGTGAGTAAAGTGATTGAGATAGTGCTCTGGGGCGGTGCGATCCTCCAACAATTTGCGGCGGTGTAACGACGGTCATGTGGCAGCGTATCCTTAACACGGGAGACGTTTAGCACAAAAAAAACAACTTTGATAGACGTGAAAGCACGCCGTACGCTACAGTGCACCCTGTAATAAAATCAACAATGTTTTTCTTGTTGATTTCCTGCAGATAAACCCACAACATACCTTTCTATCGACCTCCTTCCTCAGCTTCTCTAGGAACTCCGGGTTGTTCGTCAGGGTAGCAACTACGATAGTCATGATCTTGGCCATCCCCGCTGCCGCCTGGAAGTTCGTGATGAACATGAACTCTCGCTCCAGATCCTTGGTGTTCACCTGACCGTTGCTGTACAGGTGGGAACAGTGGCAAGGGCGACCGCAATGCACGGGGCTGCTGAAAGGTCGTCGTTTCCGGCATTTGTAGTATTGATGTTGGCGGCGGTTGCTCGTTTGCAGGGATCGGAGCTATTCGGTGGTAACTCTCTGGCAACGGGGATTGGTTGAGCAAGAAACACAAGACAGCAGCATGAGCATGGTTCACAACACGTCTGCCGTGCTGAAGACAAACACATATACAACACCCCCCCGGCGTAACCCGTCCCCGCTTCCTAGGGATGTGAGGTCAATGTCTAAGACTACGGTATGCACGGCTCCCCAACAAAGGGTAATACGAATCAACGCGAAAGACAGCCTGTTCTGCGTGAAGCAACAGCTGTACGCACATTGGAGCCCTCGAGCATCTCCGCGAAGCCGGCCCAGACCTCGGACGAGCGGATGGACTCGACGATGGACTCCACGGAGGCAAGCTGCTCGGCGGACGCCTTCTTCGACTTTCGGGCGAACGTGGCCGCGAGCTGCGCAAGAGGGGTGTCCATCTCGAGCTCGAGCAGTCTGGAGCGATCGGACGTTTCGTTGACGACAACGACGTTACCAAGTTCGTAGGACGACGAATGGACAAGAAATGGCTTCGCTCCGTCGGTGGAGCACCAAGCAGAACAGGCTGTACAGTAAACCACATATAGATACACGTGCCGAACATTGCTCAACAAAGTGGACTACATATAAGACAGACGTGTAACGAACTGAACCCGATTTCGAAGCACTTCGCCTGTCGAGAGCGCCTTGTCATCTGCACTAGCGCAATCCGAGGCCTCACTTACACGGAGACATCGAGTGGGATAGCGTTGATGAAGTCCTTGAAGGGCGGGAGGGGCTGGCCACCCTCCACCCCCATGCCGTAGATCCACTCATGCAAGAAATGTGTCGTCTGCTGCAGAAAGAAGCCTTAAGCCAAGGTGTACTCCCCCAGGCCTTTACCAGTCCGAGGAGGAGAGAAGAGGGAGGGAAGGACCCGGCAGTAGAGTGGGGTAGGGACACAATCATCAGCGGGGTATTCAACACTGTATGTAGCTCAGCATTTGTTTTCGCGCTCCACAAAGCCTGCGGTAAACTCCGTAGGCCTACATATTCTGGATAGGCCAACCTAGGTGGTGGACGTTTTCGTCGTCAAAGTGGATGACTTGTTTGTGGCAACAGGACTGCTCAGCTCCCCCCCCCCCCCAAGGAGACACCCAATATCGGCATCGGTCGAGCTGGGTCCCTCGTGCTTGTTTTGCGGATTTTGGGCGCCTCTTCACGTACCGTTGTCCCTGAGATTCTTGTAGAAGGTGTCGGTAGCGTTAGTCATGGCCGACTGCGCGAAGGGGACCCTTGATCGGAATACTCTGAGTTTGTGTTCGCGGAGGACTTGGTGCGACTCTTTCTGGTTGCTGGCGAGAGTGGGTAGCGACTCGCCGATGTACTGCTTCTTGCACTTTAGAGGGCCGAAGTACGCCCCGTCCTGCGCCCGCGTCGCACGTGGGAGTGAAGTACAAACAGACACGCATGGGCGCGAATGGCGAAAGAGAGGTGGGATAAACTTGGTGGGATGACAAGACACATACAAAACCGTTCGCGATCAACGCGAGTCAGTGAACAATTCTACATCGAGAACAAGGTGAATGTACGGCTGACGTACGACATCGGATCTTGGGTGCGTGTAAAAATATATATGCTGCATGAAGTTACTGGAAGGCGTTGTATCTGTCGGAGATAATAGCCCAGTCGAAGGGATGTATTGAAGAAGTCTTGGTCAATCTTATTGCCGAATTCGAGTTCAATACACATTCTATAGTTTGTCCCTGCGGGAATCTGTCGCTTCTGTCCGAACGTTTCGTCGAGAAGCACGATGACCACTGGAATATGTACCAGTCAGCGCTGACTGGTAGTCAATAGCCATGGTGATTCTCAACACTTTCAATAAACAGAAGGGAGGATATACGTGACTGTGCTTCTTCCCCGTGCGTGGAACACGAGAGCCCCGAACAGAGGCGGGAATGTCTTCTCGGCACTATTTTTCCAAAATGCGGAGAATTTGGCGAAATTGCTCAATTCTGAGATGCGTGTCATCCAATTCGTTTCGTACTGTATGCGAAGGGGAAACCAAGCACTCTCATTATCCATGCCATCGTGAGCCGAAGCCACAGGCCCACAAACACGACACTTTAGTTTGAAAACATTGAAGCGCGGAAGCAAGAATAGAAAACAACACCTGATCTCCGGCACGAGCATGTTCGCGTATAGTCAACATGTATACTAGATGCGGATGCATATGCTCAACATACCTGCCGGTCCAAGACCTCTTGGCGCTGGCTGAAAAACCATTCACAGCTGGCGTGATCTGTCAAGAACGTGACAGCAAGATCCGGGTGCCCCTTGGACACCGATGCACCGCCGTTGGCCTCGATGAGGCCGTTGAAGTACTGTCCTTCCCTCGCCGCCCATGCCCGCGCTTCGGTGAGTGGAGACAAGCTGTGAAACGGGTGGTGAACGCCGGTAGGCTCGAGAAGATCTGGTTCAGCCGCCGTCGTTGCAGCAGCGGCCATCTTGACTTTGTGGTGTGAAGGGGTGGGAATCGGCGGCGTTGTGGTCGAAGCTTGCCGCGACGAAGAGATGGAGGAAGCAGCTCCTGCACGTTGGAGGAGGAGACGGCAAGTATAGTGAAGGCCGATGCGACCAGAAGCGGACCACCACCAAGGACAACAAAATAGAGTAGCCGCATGCGGTTGTTGTTGTTAGGCACCTTCTCTGCGTCTTTCAGCCTAGTCGCAGGAGAAAGTAGTATGGAAGTGGGAGAGGGGTAGGTGGTGAAGAGAGGATGGGGTCTATGTGCGACGCGTGGGGTGTGCGGTTGTTGGGAGTGAAGGGTTGTCCACGTGGTGTGGTTTGGGTGGTAAGTAGGAGAAGGTCGGGAAAACATTTTTTTAGTGTTCCATCGCACGACGGTTCCGGAGAACGTTTCAACAGCAAGCAGGACGCATCATCAACCATGGGATAAGCAGTGGAGTTTATTTGCCCATCGTTCTCTCCGAGACAGATCTTCGCTTCATTTCGGTCGTCGTCCTAGCCAGAAGGATGGGGTCGATGTGCGACGTGTGGGGTGTACGGTTGTCAGGAATGAAAGGTTGTCCGCGAGGGTGGGTGCGATGCAAGAAGAGAAGGTGGGGGGAGATTGTGTACAGTACACCGCATGACCATTCCACGAACAAGCACGCATCATCAACTTGCAGTGTAGAGCTTCTTCTCTAGGAGAAATACTTGTTTTACTCGGCCGTCGTCTTGCGAGAACTGCCAACCGTAGCTCTCTTCCAAATGATGACATGGTCGATGCCGCTGCAGGAAGAGGCAGCACGAAAAAGTCGGAACGTATCGGGCAAATCGCCACACGACAGACTACGCACAGTGAGTGGTGACCGACAGCTGTAGGCTTTGTGGTTTGGATTGCTGCTGTCAAACAGTCGACGAAGGGACGAAACTTAGCAGGTGGAGTTTGCCCGCCTGGATTCTTGCCCGCCTAGATTCAGTTCCTCGCCTCGGACACCCAGGAGATACGTTTCCTGAAGCAAATATTCGAACAGACCTACATTTTTGAATAGGTGATCGGAGTAACATTTTTCGGGCACCCTGGGTCCGAACCGCTTCACACAGGTCACGCGGGAATTTATTTTCATTCTCCGATTTCCTGCCAATGTTTGACCTCTTGGGCAGGAGAACGTGCTACTGTGTAGGTTGTTTTCGGAGTTGACTTTGGTATTGGTCTTCGAAGTCGGGAGCAAGTCCGAAATCTCAAGACCTGAAATTTTTGAAACTAACTGCTGGTTGCGAAAACCGAACTGCCCCTCTCGGCTCGTTGGATGAACTTTCTTCAAAATGGTACTACTGTAGTCAAAGTGGTCACTCTGCACGACTCCCTGGCGCCAGAGTGGGGGTTCGATTCTCTCTGCCGCTAGGTTCCTTCCAGTAATCTGTAGCAGAGGGCGCTCTGGTAGATCGTCAACAGTAAGTAAGAGCCGGCCCGCTCGAAAGAACTACATCTACTTTCGTATGAAACCGAGGCACAAGATTAAGAAGAAATGCCGAAGAAATTGAATAGCGGCCGGCGTGTAACTTCAATAAATGTAGAAACCTTTGCTCACTCATTGGTGTAGCTGTAAGGTTTGAGCCTCGCCCAAAAGAGGTACTCGCTTCGGCTTTACGATCGGCGAGACAATGGGATGGATGAGTGAAAACTTTGTCGCGATAAATGTACAAGTAATGTGATTGCAGTATGGGGCGGCTCCGCCAATCGTACGTAGTGCATAGACGAGATGTTCTGGCAGCTTTCTTCGTTGATCGCTGGAAGAGTGACGGGGAAGGGGGTCTCGCGCTCACGCTCTAGACTCTTCCTATCTGTCATCAACGGACATAGTCGAATCTGCATTAATCCCGTGTCTATGTAACTAATTCAGCAGCATATCGTTGCAGCATGGACGTGCCCTCTCTTGACTCTGACAGTTCTTTTATCAAAATGTTGTCCTACTTTAACCATCTGTTACCCAACTTCCGTCAGCGGCCCAAAGTTCCAGCAAAGGCTGAATTGAATATTCGTGGACTTTTGCGAACACACCAAAAATTTCTCGAATCTGAATGGGCTTCACCAGCATTTGATTTCCTCGACAGATATGACCCAGCCGGATCCCACATCCATGCGCCACATCATCACCCGCCTGGTGTTGTGCGTGGTGTACTCTCTATTCCACCACGAATGACTTATCCACACGCGCCCAGCTGAAAACATGTTGCGCCCTGCCCTGCTACCTCCCCTCAAGGCACAACTTGTGCCCCCCCGCCCCCCTCTGTTTGCGCCGAATAAATTGTCCGCGCAATAATCCGCGAGTGCGTGCATGAAAAATATTGAGGTGTTATTCGGTAACCAGCAGTGTAGTGAATAGTCTGTCTTCCCAGATCACCTCAAGCACCGTATTACATCAAGCCATGTACACCCAGACACGGTAGGGCCAAACCCATACCCCACAGACGGAAAGGAAAAAGAGGAACTAACACATGCAGTGCTGCCAACTATAGCTGTAGTTCTTATTCAGTCTTGAATCGCAGCATGAATGCTATGCCAGGGTGGCTCTTTGTCCTTTCAGCCATGCAGTCCGCCAGTCGACCGGACATTGCATCAATATCTTGGTGTATGAAAACGCATTTCTGCCCCCCTCCCACGCTTCTTCCGGCAAACTCCATATTCCCCAACTCCAACCTTTGTACCCCAAACCACTACCATGGTCCAATCGTAAGTCCCCCGACAAAATGCCCTCTACGGCATATCTTCCCAAATCATTTGGTCGTTGCCACGCGATCTCTACAGAATAATTTCGAATATCATCACTCCGTCTGTTGTGCAAGAATTTGAGCGGATCGTCGACTTGCTGAAGATATTAGCCTAGACTCGACTGTCGTGAAACGGTCGTCGAAGCGCAGTCATCTTCAGCAAATCGTGTGCCATCGGGCATCCCCTGCGCCTAAACATGAAACAAAAATAATCCCCGTCTTGATTGAGAGGTTGTCGAGTCCACAAGCATCAACCCGATCATAACCTGGCTCTCGTTTTGCCCGCTCTTCGAAGATTAACATACCGATCTAGGTTGCTTGATGAACGTAGACAACAAAGACTGGTTTCCGACGATTAATCGATCCCCCTCGCACCACCCTGCCTCCGTCTTTGCTTGCCGTACCCCAACAAAGCCTCAGCTGTCCGGACGGGTGCCTAGGGTTCGCCCAGCCGCCGTACATCGTGCAGGTGGAGCCGGTGACCATGGTAGCGTCCTCCGAAGCCAAAGATATCACCAAGTTGGCAGCCTGTGACAACGTGGACAACAGATCCAAAAGTCTGGGATAATGCCCTTTAGAACTTGTCGCTAAAACTACCACATACGGTTGTAGGTGCTAACGGTATTGACGTCAGGATGTGGTTTGCGCCGATGGTGCTTCGATCATGCTCGGCGGACATAAATTGGGAGATTTGAACTATCTATCGACACGCGCGGCGCGGCTAATTTGTGTGTCTATCTTTCCTTCGGCACAGTGGTCCCCGATGACAGGCATGATGGCCCAGCATGGGACATGCGCAACACACCCTCTGAGTACGGGGAAACACCCAGCATTCCAATCCGAATCCATTTACTTATCTCCCCACCTTTTAGGCGCACTCTCATTTGTGACAGGGGGACGGTAGGTTTTTGCATACACCCCCTCTATACCAACCCCCCTACACATGTGGCCCCCAGGCGTGGTAAGTAATATTTTGCAGGCAGTGCTCACACAATTTTGGTTCCTGCGAGTATGCCGCAGCCGTAGCACACCCCCTGGGTCCCCTTCATTGCTCTCACTATACCTGCCCTTGATCACCCGAGTTCCACAAGAGAGCACACCCCCCACAGAGTGACACAACCTGCGATATGGTTGTTTACGGCCAATATGTTTTCCCAGGGTTTGGAGTCTTGTGCCGCATATGTTATACTCTACCGATCCACCGATGGAACCTCTCAAGCATCAATAACGTGCGAGAAGTCCCGAGGTGGCAACGAACGTCGGCATGGCATGCTGGCAGGACCCATTGTCGCAAACGCATCGGGACGCAGACGCGCGTGGGCTTGTCATTAAGGAGGCGCGAAGAGCGACCACCAGGCCGTCCCGATGTAAACGAAGGGGGCTTCGTTAGCCGGTGCACAAGGTGTGCGTTGCCTTCGTCATCGTTAATGACAAGGTGCTTTCGCGAAAGAGCGTAGATGTCCCCACGCGACGGGCGTGATGCCGAAAAGGATTCGTGGAGGAAATCCAGCGTATCTTGGAGAAGGGTCGTTGGACACCCTAAGACGATTATACGCACATTCGCCTTGCAGGCGGGTTCGGTTCTATGTTCACGGGACTATCCCAAAGGGTGTAACGCGAGACGGATTGATGGACATCCAGTTCCGTGGCGGACAACGGCGGTGCCGAGGAACCGGTGGCGATGCCGCGAGACAGGTTTGGCGTGCGGAGCGTGCCCAGGAGCGGCGACGGCGCCACGGACGTCGGTGGGTCCCCGTGTCTGTCGATACCGAGGGTACTGTACGCGTGAGGTCGGCGTCTTTGGCTGAGCGACCGAAGCCGGCGGACGCGTGGAAACGTTAGGCGCGACTCGCGCCCGGGAGGCCGTTTGTTGGATCGCAGGCGGTGCCGCGGCGTTTCTAGTGTAGTTAGTGCACTGAAGGCTGGGACCGTCCCGCAGCACTGGCCGATCGGCAGGGTGTACGCGTGGAAACAAAGTTTAATGGATTCATGCGCGGCCGGACTGACTGAACAGACGGACAGCGGCGATGGATCAGGGGAAATCGAGACGGTGTTCTTGCAGAGGCGACATTGAAGCTGGCAGCACTGCTGTGTCTATGCCCGCATCCGAAGTCTGTGCGTCGCTTTGAGGGTTGTACAGATACGACAGACACCAGGACGCCTGAGCCGTCGAGGGCGCCGTGGTTGTCGGCGGGGTACCGGAGGAATGTGGGTAACGTCGGTTGCCGCA